TATACTTGCATTAAAACCTAACAAATATTATTTTAGTAAGTTTAATAGCACAATCCAAGACATACCATAGTGATTGAGTATATAACAATTCTTGTAAAAAGTCATAGGTTCGAAACTCATTGACCCACATCCTTATTGAATTTTGGTAAAAATTGTAGAAAAAGAATATTTCACAAAAAGTTCCACGCTAAGGATTCGAAATCAAGACTTCAAACATGTATGTGAGCTCCAACCAACTGAGATACAAGATATGTGTGGAAATAAGTGGATTATCAGTAATACATTGTATAATTTTAATCTACAACCAATCAAAAAAAATTCTCCCAGCAGATTCAGCACGCGCAGCCATGGGTGCTCGCTGGATGCTAGATCCGCGCCTGACACTGACAGATGAAAAAACAATCATTTAACATTAAACTAAAAAAATCTACTTCTCGTTCGCCTGCACCAATATCAAAGGAAACTTCCAATGAAAGACGATCAATGGCTGAGAACTGCCACCCTGGAACGTGATATCATTCAATTCAAAGACAAAATTTCCAAAAAAATAAAATAAAATAAAAATGAGAAAATATTATTAAGCATATGTATACTATCGGAAAGTATATAAACCTAACTAACTATAGATCTCGAGAAGAAATTCATGCACCGAAAATGTTGAAATTTGAGATTTCTTAATAAGATATGTCGTTCTTGAGAACGAGTTATTAAGTTGTTGTGAGAAATAACCTGGAGCAAAATGATAAATTTTGTATTTTTTGTTAATGAGATATGAATTCCTCGCCAAACAATCCAAGGCAGAGTTATAACTTCAACCAACGATTCTGTCGTCAGTTACCTCCATGAGTATAATGATATATCATGTTAACCTGATATTTCGTTGTCTGGCTAAGGTTTGGATTGTAAAACTTCATAGTCTATATTCTCCTACATGAACCCAGAATAAACCTCTTCAAATTGTACTTTCTGTTTTAATAATTTATTTATACTTTGGAACTAAACTTGTGTTTGTCTGCATACATGTTTGGTATTTGGTTGCATTCAACTGGCTTATGAACTACTGGTAAGAGGACAGCTGTGAAAAATTGAAGTGCAGGAATTCGCACAAACTCTTGCCGAGGTTTGTTTTTGGGACTCATTGTTAATATTTTCAATGGGCAATGCTACATGTTGTGAAGCACTGGAAAATAGCTTGCAACTCTAACAAGTAGAATGAACCAAGAAAAATGAATGTCAAATCTGAATCTTGTCAAAAAGATTTAGATATTGATCAGAATGGATTTGGTTTCTTACTTAGATAGATATGCTTCCAAAATAGTCTAGTTTTCCAATTATTCTCATTTAGATAAACTGTATGAGTAATTACACATAAATAATGACCTTAAAAATATTTGGGTAAGAGGTACTTCAGATCCATGGATTTCAGGCGAGCCATCTTTTTTCGTGTTAGATAAGTCTTTGGCCGGGAAAATTTGATCAGCTTTTGGTAAGGGATATTATTCCATATCAAATAAAGATGATAACATAGACCAACTTATAAGGTGTTGGACTACCCTTCTTAACAAGACCTTTTAAGATGGAACCTCAAGTCTTAACTTTTACTGAGCTAAGCAGCTCCTGACCTGGTGACTGGTCCGTGCTCTCACCTGCCTGAGACTAGATGCTCAATTGGGATGTTTCGTGTGAGCTATGGTCTCTTTTGCTCAGCCTTCTTCTAGCTTGAGTTGAGACCTCTGGAGTGATATATGCTCAATTGGCCAGGTTAACTGACTAGTGTTAGATTCAAAATTCTTTGGCCAGAAACCTCCCAAGAATTTCGCATTAACAAACTGGATATATAGAAAGAATAATAATACCCACCAATTAGCTCGGCTTTTTACAGATTCATTTGTGTTACGTGTTCCTTGTTATCAAAGTAAGAATGTTATGTGATAGTTGCTTGTATTCTATCCAACGATATGACCACAAGTTTCTAACACCCTGTCGACTACTTTGTTTGCACTAGTTTAACCCCAGTGTGCCTGCGCGAAACTATTTTTTAATATTTCAGATGATCGCCGGTGCCCGTAACTAATCTTTAGCTCATTTTCTATTGCACTGCATCATCTTGTCCAGCATCATGTTCTGAATTCTTATATGAGGTGTATAATTTACTAGAAACAACTGTGATTAAAATAAACTTTACACACACAAAACAAGATTACATTTATTAATGTATTATGAACCAAATTAAAAAGAACATGACAGTGCATAATTAATGCTGATACCAAAATTGAAGTTATAATATACGTCAGAGAAATATTCTAAAGTAATTCAAAATCTTACAAATTGAAATAGAAGATATAGGAATCCTGCCGGCATGAGCCTTCTCTAATAGAAACCATATAAAGGATGTGGCCTCCTTGGCGGCTGATAATATTGATACTGAGCCGGTGGCCTCTCTGGGTACAACCTAGGATAATACGAGCCTCTAATAGGATACGAAGGACTTGGTCCACCATAATACTGTGGCGCGTAATTTGGCATATAACCATACAGTCTGGCACTACTTTCGTTTTCAGGCACCTTATCAGTAATTGTCCGACTCCTTGGATGTAGTTTGCAGAAATAATCTCTACAAACAAAATCTTTAATCTGAGGGAGTCCTTCATATTCTTCGCATTTATGCACATTATTTTCCATCTTATGACAATTTCCATCTTGACAGCAGCAAGATTTGTGCATTTTTCCCTTGTGTTGAGACTTACTTTTGTCGTTCAAATCTTTGTCCTCCTCAGCTTTCGTGTTCTTAGGTTTAACCTCGTCGTCCTTTGTAGATTGTGGATCGTAGGATACAAGTTCTGCCTTTTTAGCTAATTTTGCATGAATAATTTTGATAATTGTATCAGGATGCACGGTCCCTGAGACTGATACAAGATTTTCCTCTATATTTATAGTGAGTGAAGAGACCCCTAGTACATACGAAGAAACTTGTTCTTAAAAAAATCAATTGACATATAAATATAATAGATTGAAAATAAGAAAAAGA